CGAACTTTATGTATGCTCCTGGCCAAATATCTGACGTTTTCCGATTGATAAGCGTTATATTTGTTTGCTTGTTTGTAATTAAGCACAAAGCCACACAATGGGCTATCTGTGCTCTGCCCACCATGGGTATCGAAACCCGGATTCTAGCATTGTAAGTCCGCAGACATACCGCTGTACCACTGGGGGGCGATAAGCGTTATAACAATCACAGTTATAGCTTCCGAAGTTTATAGCACACTGACTATAGCAAACTAATAATAGATACTCTTTTTGGCGCATCGCGTTGGTTATATTTATAGGCGTGTGGAGAGTTTCTAGAAAATTCAGATTACGTAACAATACAAAGTTACATGAAGCGTTTACGTACATATATATATATATTGTTGATTCTTACACTCGAGAACCTTCTACAACTTTAGAGAATAGGAGGGAGTTTCGCAATATATATTTAACAGTATAAGCTATGTATGGTTCTAAATATAAATTTAATCTAAACGGAATGTCGATATTAACATAAATATATAATAACAAATCCGTCACATATCCAATTCGTTGACACAAAGTACAGCTTTCTGTTTCTGGATGCCATATGCTATCTTTCTTGCACGAAACTCGGTCAGTTGCCAGTTAGTGAACTCACATCTTGTATGCACCAAAACAATGGTCTTTGAACTATCCATTTCAGTGTCACTCTGCATACAAACTGGAAACTGTCAAACACACTAATTAAAATAAAAAAAAACATTACACCTTAACTAATGGGATAGCAAACACATGGTCCCATCCTGTACTACACAAGCTTGGTCTCAAACTCAAATATTCCACAAGATGTGATTTTTACTAAAGGAAAGACTTCGAGTCTCTAGAGAAACTACACCATTTTGACTGAAAAACATGGTGAACCCATTGTTTTCATTGATGTTAGTGAAGAAATATCTTGCATTTATGGTAACTAAGATACTTGTGGGCTATATAACCAGTATTGAAAGGTAAAATCATAATATTATCACTGGGCATTCAAAATGAAATAAAATATTCTATTCGATTCAGTTTTTGATTCAGAAATAAGTTTAGTTGGTGTATTCCAAACTATTTTTATACTTTGTAGGAAATACCAAATGTTTAATTTCAATATTATTCTGAACAAGTTAGTAATTATATGCGAACTTTATATTAACTACACTTATTCATAGTGTTAAAACATAATTTTTGTGTGAAATATATACAAATGTAATTCTGGATTTATTTGTGGTGTCAGGCATGTTTTACTTATTTATTCATAATATGTTTAAGTGGTATTAAAAGGCAGATTGGAGTTGTAAATCTATAGGTTATGAAACATTCAAAGTTAGAAGTATTGGCTGCTTCTTGTAAAGTATTTTGCCTAATTTCAGTCTCTGGTGTATTGTTCCTTTTTGCAGTTTTACCCAGTTTCGCTGTTGTACACTTACTCTGTCTTTATGACAACCGAACAATGATAGAAAACCTCATCTGTATGCGAAATGTACGAATCTGTTACCTGATGACTGTTGTCAGGGGCCATCATGGTCAAGCTAGCCATATTCATGTTGTTCCATCAGAAGCTAGGTGTATTGCATATTTACTAATGCTTAGAAAAAAGGTGTTCTGACGTCTTAGTGCGCATTCGCTATTGACAATGTAAGGTGCAGCAAACATGCAACATCTGGTTCCAACTGACTTTTTCCAAGAAAGGATAGTGTCATGACCTCATTACTTATAACTGAACTTTAGATTTACCATAGATTCGGTTTACTCAGAGTTTACAATCCTGATTTGTTCATGAAGCCACAGTCTTGTGAATTACCTGACAATCTACTGTACTCATGTACGGATCATGATAAACAGTTTATCAGCTCTAAGCACTGCAACAAAACACATTGCCTTTGTGAAATAACGTTTCTCGGATGTTTGTCCCATTAACCAATGATCCAGGGTTCAACCCTAGATGAAATAGAAGAAAAACCTCAAAATCTAGGAGAGATGCGTGGATCTGTGGTGAACATTTTATATATTGTAAATAGCTTTCAGGTTTTTGTAAACTGTAGTTCTTTTGTATTTGTACTTTGTTTCGTATTGTATTATTAATATGTTTCTTTCCTATTTTATTTAGTATTGTTACGTCTCCGTTTGTTAATTGATTTCCCGTAAATTCGTTCGACGAAACTTTAGCAACACAAGTCCTTTCTTAATAAAACTGGTTTATTCTTTCCGAATACAACTTTACGATACACTTAATTTCAACAGTCGCTCTATAACAAACGTCTCACGAGGGCAACAATATTCTGTCGCATACATTCAATTACTCATCACCTACACACATTATCCCGTCACGTTGTGAGCGTCTTATATATATATATACCAGACTAACATATATCTAGTAAATGCTAGGGCATTCACGAAGGAACAGGATATTTCTAGAAAATAGGTGGCGTGACACTAGTCACGTGACCTCGCTGACGCAACAGTATCTTTGATTTGTTATTTATTTAAATTCTGTTTGGAACATTTTCAATTTGTAGTAACTGGCTGGTACTGATGACTTTTTAAATTTTTTTAAGATTATTGTATTTTATTTTATGATCTAATTTTAATCTGATTTACTTTGCGATTTTGAGATGATGTATTTTGAATTGTAATTTTGTTTTGTTTTCATTATGAATTATGATTTTGAATTTTATGTATTTTTATTTTGAGTTGTATTTAATTCCAGTTTCCTTAACTCGCTACTGGAATGTCTTTGTGTGGGTTTCATGGCGTCGTGCCCATCCCCCGAAGGAAACAGTTACCACATTATACAATCAATTATTAATTTTCTGATTGGACCATAAACGTCAGTTTCAAAGTTTAGAGTGGATTTCACCCTTACTTCACCGGTGTAGAATACATCTTTACTACATTTTCATGACGTTTCTGCATGCAGTTAATCACGTCTGTGTTGATGGGGGGCTAATTCCTTTACACAGGTAAAGGGTACATGCTGTAACCTTTGTTCTTAAATCTCAGTCTAACATAAACGTGTTTCTGTATGATCTACTTGGATAGCAGCGTATTTAAACAGGCAACATAGAAACTTGTACACACCTGGCATGCCTTAAGATTGCACGTGTGATATAAGTTAATACTTTGTACTAGCTCCCTCCCACCTCAGTATATATGCAAATGTTTAAGTTCAGTTTGGATGCAGAGAGTCACTTAAGTAAACAACTTAATTTTCCTTACTCTAGTGCACACAATATTTGGGTCTGCTAATTGGCCATTAGGCATGTTTTTTTTGTTTTCAGAGAAAACAGTTAGTACTTCCCCGTGACATCTTGAGATAGACAACCAACCATTCTGTCAGTGAATCAGATGAAGGCCTGGAACCTCCATACCCCTATGCTCGAATGCATGTGTTTCTAGGGCACGTGTGTGAGGACGCTGGTACGAGCATCTTGGTTTTGCTATTGTTATTCTTCCCCGTTAAACATGGATTTTAAGGTTACATACAACTCTAGATTTGCTAGAGTTCTCATAAAATTTGACTAGGAAAATTTTAACTTAGTATTTCTTTGTTTAAAAGTTAACTTTAAATTTTTCTCTAATTTCAGGAGATGTTTTTGTTTTAAAATTTTCGCTTGCTTATTTCTTTTAGCTCAACTGGACTGGATTGGTGAGAGAAAACCAATAAACATTTCTTTTTAACAACTATATTTTGCTAGTTCCACACATCCACAGCAAACACTTGATCAGTTTTGTAACTACGTGCTCTGTTTGTTCTTTGATTGCGTATTGTGAGTAAAGATTGTTATTTTGTACTTTTTATGTATTGCCTTTTTCTTGTCGATGAATTCATTCAGAGTTTGGAAAGAGAAACGAAGTTATATTCTGTGGCGTGATATCTTTCGAACCTCTAATTAGTATGCCTTAACTAGCAGCTTTGCGGGAAATCTATGCGCCAGAGTGTACTAGTAGGACATCTGGCTTTCTTTATTTCAGTAGAGTACTGAATTTATGCATTTTCATAATTATTGCTCTTGCTCTTCAATTCTTTCCTGGATCCGTTCTTTGTTTTGCAATTCTCAACCCTAACTGCCAGACGAGACAGAACAAGCCTGCCCAGTTTAGATGTTTCTTTAATAAATAATTTTATGTTTAAAACTACATTTCTGTTTGCTCGTTTTCATGTACTGTCTGTGTTCAATTTATTCTTCGCTTAACAGGCATAATCCTGCGTTTGAGAAAACTGTCGGATTTTCTGTTGGATATCAGTAGACCTAAATACATAATTATTGTCATAAGACATTAGTATTATGAGTATTACATTTTGAAACACTTCCTTCTTTATTTAGTCCCTTAGAGATTTTCAAGATTTAGAAGAGGGTATAATAATATTCCAACCACAATATAATTACCATATCCATTGCCGATGACGCGTTTCGCTCAATCCAGGCCGGCTGGAATACAACAAACACAATAGTGGTCAATACACTATTTATATAAACCATTTGATACAACAATAAAATAAATAAGGTAGTGTTCCAAAATGTAATAGGCCTAATACTAAGGTCTTATGACAAGCATAATTGTAATCATTCTTCGCCAGCTTGTAAAAGGTGTACACACAGTACCGTAATTCTTGTTGTAGGTGTTGCATTACTTAAATATATTTAATTTAATTCATAAAGGTTAAAGCTACCATTTTCGATAGAAATTCTACTCGTTAGTCTCCACATTATTGAGTGGCATGATACGGCATATGTTTGTTTTCTACACAAAAGAAGTACATTAAAGACGAAAAATACAGAAAAACAGCTATGGTTATGACGATTTTATTTCGAAACCGTTTTAGACGTCATTTCAGTTGTGTTTACAGAAAAGTTGTTGGCGTATAATGCTTTGCAGTGAAAAAAAATATTTAAAAAAATGTTTTGATTTGAATCTGCTTACAGTGCCACGTCGCGTGAAAACATTAAAATATATTAATAAGGCCGCGTCAGTTTAAAAGGGAGTAGTGGAGTGTGTAAATAGATTTTGTAGTTAAATGAGGAATGTTATGACATAAAGGTTGGAACAGTTGGATGATTTCAATAGAATACAGTAAGCATGCATTTTATTTAATAAAGAAAATATTCTTTCCTATATAGCGAGCTTTATCATTCATATTTGTTGGAAATATTAAGTGAAAAATTTCAGGAATATTTTATTATATTATGATAATTGTGATGTTTTTGTTTTTTAAAAAAATAAAGGTTTAGCCATTTCGCATACGTCCAGACTCCAGCCCAGTACACTTAGGCGTTTTATTTTTAATTTAATAATAATAGAGTAGAACAAATAAATATTAACGCTGTGTAACAGTAATAATGAATTTAACAGTATAACTTGCAATAAAAATGTTCTTAAACTTTAAAAATAAAAGTTAATAATATGCTATAGTGTCAAGTAAGTGTTACTTAATTTCGAAGCAAACAATTTTTTCATGCTCTTCTAGTCCTAAGTTCTAGCCCATCGTATTTGTACTATTACTGTTACTAACAATAACAGTAATACCAATAGCATTTTGAAATTCCTTTTTGTGCATTACTTTAATTATACTTCTTACTGTAAGTGTGATGAAGAGAAACGAATTCCTTAACCCATATTTTCATCTTAAGTGCAAAAATTACATAAAAGTTTTCTTACGTTAAAAAAAAACAACACATTAAGCAACTACACTGGAATTGATGTATTTTGTAAACCAAAAGGTACTCTATGTTATTTTGTATTACTTTATAAACAAGAGTACCATGATCAACTCAAGAGTATTACTATTCCATTTTAAGTTTATAAAACCATAAAATTTCGTTTGTAAATTGCAGTTGCATAAATTAAATATTTATTTGATATAAAGCACCATCTGTTGTATGCTTTTATATTTACAATTGTTGCACATTATGGAATGTTCTACATTCTTGTGGTTAACATAACATTCATATTCAAGGTGTCTTTCACCTGACGGAAAGCTTATAAATGAGCTTGAAAGCTTTCATTTAATAAACACATTTTAAAATTAACCTCAAAGTATATTTTAAGTTTTCCCATATTCAAAATAATTACTCTTAAGACCTTAATTTTATACACATTGATTGGGATTGTATGGACTCAACTAGTGGGGGAAAAAGAGGTTTATTTAGGTGATTTGAGGATGGATAATTATATACCAAATGATCATAGAACCAATCAGAATGAATGTCATTTTAGATTTATTGTTAAAGACTAATAAGGATGTGGTTGCTAGAGTTAAAATGAAGGAACATTTGAGGAATATTACTCATCACATAAGTAGGTTTTGCTATATGTTGAGATAAAAATATGTTTAGCTTCTAATTTTCAAAAAGCTGATTTTTTTTAGACCAGCCCAAGATTTTAAAATGGGAATGGAGTAATTCCTTAAAATAAAGGGTGGGTGTGAAATGATCACCATGAAAGACCAGATGGTCCCTTTTCCATTTATTATGTTACATTCTTAGTTACATGAGCTTGGTTTGAGGATACTATACTGCACAAAATTTTGAACTATGTGCCATATCTTTTCAAAGGGCTAACAAAGGAAGGAAGCAAATACAAGTCTTAATTCCACATGGCAGTAAAATTAAGTTACCTAAAGATAAATTTATAGTGTGTATAAAGCCATAATTAGCCTAAATAACCTAACAACAGACATTTCACCTTATAGCTCAGCCAACCAAAATGGAGAACATAAAAGCTAATCCTACTGAGTACTCCCATCATAAGCATGTTTGTAGCTATACATTTCTCATGAACTGCTTTAAACTTCTGACAAGGCTTGGTTTACATATAGTGACTTTCCGTGGAATGCATATATGCTAATAAAAAGTGTAAGATTGACAGTTCTAACTCACAAGCAGAGACATTATTAAAATTCAAGTTTAATATTTTACAACTTGGTTTTGGTTGATTATCCCAAGTTACAGAAATTCAATTTTGTTCAGAAATGTAGCTCCTAAAGATAGCATATTAAATACTTTTGATTTTTTTGCATCCCTCATATCAGTACAGGAGGTTTTACTTGTAAAAAAATTGCATAATTCTGTAAAAGATTGTCTTATTAATAGTTTTGAGTCCTTTATTTTTTCAATTGTATGATAATATATTAAACCTTTTTTAGATGACTCAAAATAGTAAGATGTCAGAGAGTATTATGAGAGATTTTTTTATGCATACTGTTATATTATAGCATTTTCATTTTTCTATACAGTTATGAGGTAGTACAATCACACATCAAAATATTTAGTGTCCATTAGGAGTAACTCAGATGCAAAGTTATGTAGTTGCGAAGATTTATTTCAGTATAATCATGACATCCACTAATGAAAAACAACTAAAAAGCAAGTTTTGATACTCTTACCATTGAATTGACAATTTCTCCTTGAATCTGTGATATTGATAAAGAAATTGATTTGGCCAGTTTTTCTTTTTTTGTTTTGGAAATTTGCAAAAAAAAAAAATATTCCACTTAAGAATTTTGCAATTTTTCTGTGTATGTTACTTAAATTTCAAGATTTTAACCAAGAGATATGTAGAGGCCTTTTATATTGATAAATAAACAAATTACAAGAATTTTTAGAAAATCAGACTTTATAACATGTATTTGCTATATGAAAAAAAGGTGGAACATTTATGAAATAGTTTAATTGGGTAGTAAACTAAATGGGGGTTTTTGGTGGCAATGTTTTAAAATTACTTATAAATGCTATTCAAATCAAAAGGTTTAATATTGAAATGTCTTCTAATATATGTTTTGAGAGAAACTGATTTAAAATTGGAAAGAAATTGGGTTTAAAATCGGAAGATTTAGAAACTATTTAATTTTGAATATAACCCAAGCTTTAGTACCTAAAGTGCTATGAATGAAAAGGTGTTGTTATTGTTGTGTACATAATCTCTGGGTTTAAGACTTTTGAGTGCTTTATTAACTAATGTCAGTTAATGAAACAGGCATTCTAGTTTCTACAAATGAGAATGTGGTGTTGTTCAGAAATTTTCTGTTTTAGAAAAAGTTCTATTTGCTCTGATTATTCACACTATTCTTTTGTTTTAGAATGTCTGTTTATAAATGTTACAAATAGTCAAAATGTGATACATACATATTCGGGGATTGAAATTAACTCTGGCAAATTGCTAGCTAATGTAGCAATTATTCATGCGAAACTTAGAAGTCGCTAGAAAATATTGCTATTACACACTTAAGAAGAACAGTTCGCAGGTTTTTACTGTGAAGTGTCAATAAATCCATGATATGTGCATTGCCTTCAAAATTTTGAGTAGAGAAGGCTACTGTAATTATAATTAACAAAATTCAGTGTTTCACTGGCCACTGTCATGCTGGTTTTGTGATTCGCATTTGAGCTGCATGGTATGCCCAGTAATTATCAGGAAATGAGAATAGTGAGACCGCAATTTCAACTTGTTTGATTGGTTGCCAAAGCAATGAGCACGTGGACTTAACTAGCTAGACTCACCATCCAGTTTCTGCAATGTTGTTTTGCTAGTAGTCTGGTTAGAAATACTGTGCCCAGTGTTTGTTTCTTGTATGTAATGAAATAGAAATTACATAAACCTTAGATTTTTCATTTCACATTCCTCTAATGCTTTACCAGCTTTCAGCGTTTAAACCGTAACTTTTATCAGTAAAACACTTTTTCATTATAGAATGGCCGTCAAGTCACCTAAAAGAATCTACATGTTCGACCCTGTCTAAGAAAATTGGGTAGGTTTTATACTGTCAGTTACGGTTTGTATTTTAGTGGAACACCCCTGAAAAAGCTTTAAAGCGAAACGCTGAGTGTTCAATTAAGTAATAAAAATAGCAAATTTGTGTTAAAATGTCGTTTATTACTAATATTATAATGAATTTTACTTGTAAGTGTAGATAATATAACGCGTGCGCATTAAAGACTTGTGAGGCTTGGAAAACGATCTTTGTCGATACCTGAGTAAGGAAGCATATTATGCTAAGGAAAAATTTTATTGATGGTGGAACATACTACACTTTTCGACAGAACATTCCTCTGTCTTCTTCAGGAATGTATCAGTCTAATCCTGGTAGCTATTTAGGTTAAGTAACCCAGGGGTTGTCAGAAATGTTTTGAATTTCTGTTCGCCCCTTGCTTGGGCTATGTGGTAGTTGAAGCTGATATATTGATTAAAACTTAGGGGACTTGTCTATGGTTTTCATGATTTTTCATTTGCTTGCTTGGGTTGCCGGAAGAGAGACCAAGAAGAAGACCGGAAATGCTGATTTCCTGTACTTGTTGAGGAAGATTTTGCTTTTGCCCCTAGTCTGGCATACAAGATCAAAAGTTCACGAGCAACGTCACACCCCGTTCCAGGAAACACCAGAACCATAGTTTATTAACATTCAACAGAAACATATGACATTTATGTGTGAATAATTTCAGTAGACAATAAGACAAAGTTGACAATATATGAGAAATTACACCTTTTTTATGTATTATATGGAACAAGTTGACATTTGCGCAAGATGCATAAACAGATAAGACATGAAGGTCATTGACCGTTCCTGGACGATAACATGAAAAAGAAAAAAAAGAAGGGGGGGGGTGTATGGTCAGTACTAAGCAATCCAAGATTTATATATTGTTACAAAGACAATGGGGATTAAATGTGACGGAAATAATGTCAGCAGGTGACAGGTGAAGATTAAGTGTGGTCAAGTGTATGAAGAGTGAATAGACCTTGTCAAATGCGACTGATGTTGTTACTGCCATTATCCTGGTTTAGCGAGAGATCGTTTGCTTTGATGATTTCTGTAGTTTTTAAACAGTCTTTCTTTTTTAGTTTTGGGTTGATGTAGGAGAAGAATTATGTCCCAAGGTATTTTGTGATCTGTTTCATATTGACGATATGTTAAGGCAGATAAATGGAAATCACCTCTACGCATGTGACCTTAAGTGACATGACCATTGTTCCATATATTTCTTTCTACATTCACATCGGATACTGTAAATGCCTTTTGTTAGTTTAATAGGGATTCCTTCGGGTTAGGTAGTGAGATGTTTATTATATGTAATGCTTTGAATACATCAATGCTCAAATTATTAAAAAGTCTAGTAATTTCGTTAGCAATTTCTGGCACAAAGTTTGTTTCATTCCCTTTTGTTGTAAAAAAAAAGAGTAAATACAGTGATAAAATGATTGAAAGATATAATATAGTTAATTGTACACATTGATAGTTGTTTTAAGTGTAATAAAAGCAACTGACTATACAGTTAATGTTCCAAATTTTGTTGCTTTAGTTTTCCAAAATGGCTGTTTTTTTTGTTTTTTCTTGGTATGTTGTAGTCTTACTGAAAAGTATATACAATGTTCCAGGATTTACAAATAAGAGATTAAGTTTATATGCTCTTGTTTTTTTGTTTGTGTGTGTGTGCTGTTTCCTGTTCTCCGTTTCTAAAGGGAAACACGAATTCTAGTAGCGAGTGCGCGTTAATTAATATAATTCCTTGCAGGCCTAGATGAGCAGATATAGGTTCTTCATTCTGTCTATCTTTAACCATGTATTTTACTTTTGAGTTGTTCTGTTTCTTTGTTATTGGAAAACGTCAATTCTTCACACAGTGTACGTTTAACTATGTATTTATTTTTTTAAGTTCTGGATTGATATAAACTTTGAGTGTTTTTTGAACCGGAATATATTGAACAATACACATTCCAATCAGTTGTTTTAGTACTGAAGTCAAAAAGGAGACTTGTTATATTTCTTGCTAGAATCCTGAAATATATAGTGATTCTGAAATACTTGCATAACTGACGTGAGAGAAGACTGCCTGTGTTGTTATTTTGTAAAGAAGATAACATTTCTTATAAACTCTCTGTAAGAAAGTAAGTCATATTTTTACATCATCCAAAACAAAATCCTGATTGATTTGTTACATAATGTAGACTGTAGAGTACTGAATACTGGCAGAGACCCGCAAAATATTTGCGGCCAAATTAGTAGCTTTATTGCAACAATACTTCTTTAAATACGGGATTTGTAGAATGATACAAAATAATTCTAATCGCAGACACCAAAATCTAAAAGTCCACCTGTTTTAGGTCTAACATTAGTTAAACCTTTAGTAAGTACAACCTATATTCGACAAAGGTATAAATTAACTAACTTGTGTACGTTTTTTCGCTTTAATTTTGTTAGCGCTAAACTTTACTTAATACTATCAATAAATAAACTTGTAATTTATTCTACGACCTAACGTTAGACCTTTTTCAAAACTTTAATAAGCTTTTATAATGTTGTACAAAATGTCTACTAAAGTATTTTTACATCCGCCTTTTGTCTACATCCGTTGAAATGAAGTGCACATTTAGAGAGTAAGGTGCGCGCACATTTTCAGGACAGATAAAAACTAAATATTATTATAATAAATTGTTCTATTTGCATGTTTGGAGGTATCATGTGAATTTTCACATGTCCATTTTCAGGACAGACAAAAATTGGGTATAGTATTATTATAATATATTTGTATATCGACAGCATGTTAATGTTTCTATAGATGTTTGTAATGACAGTCGTCTACGATAGCATCAAGTTTTGTTCGATTCAGATTATTTTTGGAGTGCTCGAGTATCGTATCTCTTCAGGTTATTAATTTTTTACTTTTTTAAGAATAATAAACGCGATAATATACTAACTTATTTGAAATATTACAGGGGGTCACAGAATGATGCAGAAGTGATAAGGTTTTGAAAAATCTTTAAAATATCTTTCTCCACCATGGATATTGCTGTAGTTGCTAAATAATTTTGGTTTTTGTTTAAAAAGATGACCAAATCCGGGGAAATTGTTTAGATTCAGAAAGCAAAATGTCATATGAAGTGTACTACAAAGTAACTGATAATAAGTGGTTAACTGTAGAATAATGCTTGTTAGTACTTCGATTTTCGTAAACACTTGTGTTATGTGAATAAATAAGGGATTACAAATTTCGATATATTTTAATGATTATATACTATGTTACAGAAACACAGAGTGTATCATAACTTGAAGAAAGGATACCGCGTTTGCTTCAAAAGCACCATTTTGATAGGACATAGGCTTGCATTTGACGTTAACTACAGCCTAGATCATCTTATTAACATTTGCCATTAACCTGTTACTGCACATTTGGTGAAGCAGATTAACACTTGTGAACCAGCTTCAAGTGTAGTAAGATTTTGGAGTCTGTTCTTCGACTGAAGTTTCAGACTGCCCCAGTATAGTTTATAAATTTTATTTGATAGAAGTCTGGTTATGGAGTGGCTACGGTATTGGTGTGCGGTATGTTATGGAGCATTATCTTGCTGAAAGTGACATGTTCCTCCTTGTTGAATTCCATTATTGCAAGAAATGCATCATTGTGACACTGGACAATGTTGCATTAATGAAGTTAGTCATATATTATAAGGGGTCAAGTCAAAAACAGCTAAAAGAGGCTCACGTCATGATAATATTTTGCTACTACTTCTCGTGGCTAGGAAGACAGTTATATCCAAATCGTTCTACAAGTTAATGTTAACCCCAGATTCGTCTATTTGAAGTAAACAATAAGTACCATGATTTATTGCTCACTTGATGTTTGTTTGTTGTTTTTCATTCGATCTTCATCTTAACTTGATGCTTAAGAGTACCAGTGCTTTGCATTTATAGCTGTGATGAGCAGCTTATGAGCTGCAGCCCATCCTGGAATACTGCCGAATGGACTTCCTTGTTTATTTCACTGTCTTGGGCTACATATGCCACCCCTATAGCGCATTGCCATGCGAGTTATGAATTTTGCACCACCATGAAGAAAGGTATTTCCCTTCAAACTTCCTAAAGTTTGCCGTTTCAAGTTTCAGATAAATACTTCTAAGTATTTACGAGTGAAAGCAAAGAATAATATGTAATAGTATGCCAGACACACAATACCTGCCATATCCAGTGACGGATCTTTTGCCAAATTCTAGGGCTGTCTGGTTCAAACGCTATTTATGTCATAAGCTGCATCGACAACTGTTATGGTATGAACTAGCACATAAAAATTAAATCATTGTTTGGCATATCTTACCTACAAAAATCTTACTCCAAAATATACGTATTACGTACTAATTGTTGACCAAGTCATTGTAATGGTTTGGGAAAATATTTTTCAAAAATGTTGCGTCCAGAGCTTTGAAAAGTCAGTACAATAATTAAGAAAATTAAAGGCATGTTTTCATTTTTAGAGTTTGCCAGTTTCTTGCTATCTTGTTAACAATAATCGCTGACACAGCTATTATTTCCGAATGAACGAATTCAGAGATCCTCATAATTCATAAGTATATTTGCAACATTGCAATTAATGTTCCATTGTGAATGGGTTTCTGTTATAGGTATGGTAGTACTTATAGTAGGAATGGACCAGATGTACAATATGTGCAATACAAATTAAAATCTCAAACTGCAAACAGCATGTAAACAAAATTTTATTAGCACTTTACACACACTGTTGAGTAGTCAACAAATCAACTTCAGAGTAACAAGCCACCAAAGCACTTGAGAAAGTCAGTAGAGTAAAAACAAAAAATTCACAAAACCACAATTTTGTAAATCTGACTGACTGACTAACTTTGTTAGAAAAACATGGCTCTCTTCTGCCTTCACCTTATGCAAATCTAAATGCACCTTAGCCTAACGAGTTAACAATATAGTAGTAGCCATAATCTATTATTACAAGCACGCTCTGTAAGTAGCCAAATAACAACCCGCCCTCATGTTCAGTGCAGACGCACGATTACTTATGCGTATGCGCTACATAATCAGCCTGCAGCTGTGTCAATTCGATAAAAAAAAAAAAAACTTGGACTACGTATATTCTCTAGAACTAGGTTCTAACTATGATCTAACCTTTGAAAACAAAGTTTTGGATAAAGCAGTTCTATCGTAGTATTGGTGCCTGAAACTGGAGTCTTGTACGTGAAGACGAACGCCACCACTGCCTAAGTCTGACATGGCTTTGCTCGAGTGAGTGCTCTGGACTGGAAACAAGAATAAGTTGTATAATTTACCTTTTCATTGTTTTCAAACTAAGTATGACCTATTTATATCTAAGGTTATAGTTGAAACAGTGCGAATTTTAAAATACGCCTTTCAAGGGGGAGGGGGAGAAGAGAGAGGTGAGGAGAAAATCTTATGTTTATAACCATGAAAAGTCGTTGTCCCAGTGAAGAGAGCATTACTGCAAAAATAGAGATAAGGTTAGAAACAGTAATGCTGAATATGTGAAACAAGCCTTAGCCATTAATCTAGCGAAAGAAAAGGCTGCCACTTTGGCTAGATGAAACAAAAAACTATAGCAAAAATATCAGGAAATGTCGAGATAGCTCTAAGAAAAGCTACGAGAAAAATAGGCCTAGAGTCCAGCCACTCTCAAGCTGATGCAAGTGTAAAAAATTTTCAATAAAATAATTAGGAAGCAGGAATGGGCGGGATAACATTACAACACTTTTTGGTTTTTGACGTAGTGCAACTTCAAAGTGGGTGTGACCACCATTCTTCCCATTCCTACTTCTTGTTTTACTTTAAACTTTGATCCAATTATAGACTTGAATTGAGTTTTATCAGTAGCTAATCCTTT